ATTAGTAATATTACGCTCAAAATTATGGATCAAGATAACAGACTGGTTGATTTTAGAAACGAGAGAATAACAGTTTGTCTTCATTTGAACAAGATTAAGTAAACACTTATTAAAAATAGCTAAAGTAGAAAAATCATTCTTATCCGCCCAATATTTTTATTGGAGTATAAGTATTGCTAGGTTCTCGGATTATACTTATTTGGTTTACATATACTCTACAGTAAACATCTCCAATGATAAAACATCACATTATTGATAAGTTTGGTCACTCTCTGTACACCCAAAAACGAGAAAGAAAAGATTTGGAAGATGAATACGAAGATTATGACGATGAAGATACTAAACGGTTTAGGGTTTCGTCGGATCCTGAAACCGCACGTCAAGCAGTAACAAGAGGTTATTTAACCCGTTACTATATTAATAAACTGGAATTGAAAGGATTGGAAGAAAGACTTAGCGACCTAAATAAAAAGTTGGAAAAACTGCAGGAAATGAGTAATGGCTTTTCAACATTAACTGAAAACTTGAAATCCTCCAATAATGACCTTAAGTTAACAGTAAAAGAAGTCAAGGAAGCTGTTTTTCCTCCAGAAGGATGTTGCTACGATGGTGAAAATAAAAGAATTACTCATGTGGCCAAAGGTATTAACAAAGATGATGTAAGCACTGTCAGTCAAACATTGACATATGATTTTGAAAAGGATATATTTAAATGTGGTGATGTTGAATTTGATTTGGTTGTAAATAGTCCTTCAAAACCTGTAATAATAGCAAAAGCTACAAGTATGAGTGGATTTGCAACATATCGTGGTGGAGATTACAAGTTTCGCACACACGTATATCGCGTTGGTGGAAAGATTATAACACACATGGGATCAAAGTTTGTTTGGAATGAGGAAAAACGCTATATCACACCTTTGTATGATGGTGAACAAAGAAAAAATCTATCAAAATTTAAGACCGTAGTGGTGGATAGTGAAGAAGATCTCTAACAAATTAGGTGTCTCAAAAGCTCCAGTCATGGTTATAGATTGTTCCAAACAAAATTAATCTGTAAAATCTTCAAGCGTGGATATAAAGTTGTAATTGGAGTTGAATGAAAATACAAACGAAGGAATATCCGCTTATTGTTTGATTCTGCATGATAAGACTGTAACATACACACCTCTAAAAGGAATTGTAAAAGTAGTGTTGTAGATGGAAACACTCGTTGTGGGAGTGTATAAATAAAACTCAGAGTAATAGGAAAGCTTCAGTTTATCCATACTCTCAGTACGGAAAACATCGCTTTCAAAGATGGGATCATCGCAGTGTGCAACGGATACAACAACAACAATGTTATTAAAAGATGAAAAAAAACAAAAACCAATGTAAAGAAGCAGTATCTGAATTCTTATCTTTTAACGAAGAAGAATCAAGTACAGAAAATGATGTAAACTCTAACATCGTAACGAAGGTAATCGGAAAAAGGAAGAGGAAACAAGAAGAGGAAATGCCACTACACAAGTTGATAGAAGTATTTCTTCGTATATCATATCCAGTTTCAAGATGTATGACAAAAATTATATCTATCGGTATGTACAAACCGTTGGATTATTCTCCAACAGTGCTATTGAACCATGGTGTTAAAACTTTGTTGTTTTCGGAAAATGCTTGGGAATCGTTTATTAAACATTTGCATTTGATAGAATGTTATTTGGAGAACAATCTGTTTGGAAGAAAAACTGCAATCAGGCTCTCAGACTGCGACATCGAGATAGATGTTGTTAAACAGCGAGGGGAGCAGCAAGTTAGATTTAGGGAGCTAACCAAACACGATGAAAGAATTTTACTTACCAATTCTGAATTTTATTTATTGAGTTGTGCTGCATCATCGATAACAAGATACATGAGGCAGCTAGTTTTTTCTTCCCCTGTCGTGAAAGATTACTTAGTGGAAACGATGGAAAAACAACCAGACGTTCAGATATTGCATGGACCTGTGGATACATCGATTTTCAACCGGATACCTGAAGAGGTGGAAATGTGGAGACAAGTTAACGCGTTGGAACAGAGGGAAAACATCGACGAAGAAAAGATAGAAGGATCTAGTTCTGTGAGTGTAACGGAGGAACAAGTGAAGGAGGAAAACCACGAAACAATTTCAACAGTAGCAGAACAGACGAGTGATGTTAAAGGTGTAATGAATTTGCAAGACGGAGAAAAATAGAAGAAATAAAAAAGGAAACAACAGATAAGCTGTAGCCGATGTAAACAGGACAACAAATATGTTAACATCACGTGGGGTAGGCCTACTGGGGGGAAGGTGCCCACGTTAAATATACACCAACGCGCTGACAACTGTACGGCCTGATCTATAAAAAAGGGATCTACCGTGGTGTGGAAACCAGTTGTTATCTTAAAACGATATGGAGAGGAAGATTTCCTTCGCTGACAGAGTTGAAGAGATTCAAGAAAAACCTTGTGTAGTGGAATTTCAAGCTTTTCGAGGAAACAAAAATGAATATACCATAAAGGAACTAGTATTCCTAGATTTAAATACAGGAATTGTCTTTCCATTTCTATTTGAACCTCCATTCGCATTTAACAATCTCAACAGCAAAACGAAAAGAACCAATAAATGGACTACGAGATACTTCCATAGTATCGATTGGTGTGAAGGGTTTACAAACTACAAGAGTCTCGAAAATATTATGTATCATTTTTGTAATGAGTTTACAACTGTATACACAAGAGGATTAGAAAAACGTAATTGGATACAAGCATATACGACTCGGCAAGTTTACGACGTGATATTGGATAAAAATTTCGAATCTCCCAAGTTGGAAAATATATGTCGACTAGTAAAAAACAAACAACATACACAATCACAGTGCGCATTGAAAAATGTATACCGATTAGCAGCTTTTTTGGAGCCAATGAGAAGTGGTGGGGGTAGCGATGGGTATAAATACGAAGAGCAAACCTTGACAATGCATGAGTATTACTCGAGACTCCAAGCTAGCAACAACGACGAACTAAATAAATCATGAGTTCACATTTCCTACAAACGTTTGTTGATCAATTCAACGCACAGTCCAAATCAAACTGTTTACTTACTAAAAAGTGTTCAGAACTAAAAGAAAACAAACATTATACAATTCACAATATCAAGAAGATTGACACTTCCATCGGGGATGCCATCGTGGTTTCTTTAAGTGATGCACCATTTACTTCGGGGGATGAACCGAAGTTTCAAGTATTTCTACCTAAACGATTTGTACATCTACTACAAAATGAAGATCTGAGAAGCATCGAACCCGGATCCCTGTACCTGGTGTCTCGTGGATCAAGCGGAAACAACTCTACAGAATTATCTCTTCACATGTCACAACGTCCTTAGATTTAAGTTCTGTTTGTAGAATGTACTTTTGTAAAAGATTTAATAAATAAATAAAGAGTAAAAAAACAGCATATCGGTATTTGTTTTGATACCGATATGCTGTTATTTTTTTAACAAATTTGGATGACCTTGAACTTTACAACATAAAAGGGGGGTGTAACATCGGTCGCTCATCAGTCTGAAGTAGAACCAGCTAAAGGAAACCCATCATGAACAACGAATTGTATCGAGTTTTAACACATCCTGCACTAGGGTTGGTGAGTTGGAATTTAGAAGCTGTACTGAAGTTCGAAAGAATAATCAAAAACATTATTGAAATCCAGAGAAAAATAGATAGGCATGGTTTGTCAGCAAAAACAAAGTCCAAATATGGTGAACATTACAATGAATGTCCATGGTCAAAGGATGATGCAACTTGTGGTCCCGATACTTGTGTTTGTTGTAGCATTGGCTTAAACAGAAGTAACATCACACGTTTACTTAATGAGCTAGCTTTGGTTCTCAAACCATATAAAAACAAGATCACCTGAATAACAAAAAAATATCTCTAGGTTTAAATTTTCAAATTTAAATCTGCAAACATCACTACACCTAAGTTTGTTACAATCACATAAAAGGGTTGCCACAGTTTTCCAGCATTCAGTTTGCACACTCTAAGGTTCGCGATAACAAGGTGGGTACCAACGTGAGTGCTTGGAGTTTAATCTCACAAGAACCTCGATTTCCTCACGGAGTGTTATCCGATAGTTTTGTGCAACGTTTCGACACGTTTATGGACTGGGAACTTCTTTCTTTGCACTACATTTTCACTATAGAAATGTTGAGGATGTACTTTCATAGGGTGAATTGGTTTCACGTTTTAAAAAGACAACGGTTCTCAGAAGAAATACTCGTAGAGATGATTCCTACTTTCAACAACTGCTGTTGGAAGGAAATTTGTAAATATCAAAACCTTTCTGAAAGTTTTATCGAAAACTACAAAGATCATTTAGATTGGAATCTAATATTTGAACATCAACAAACAAGGGGGATATTCTTAAAGGAGCATGGACAATATTTACCATTTATGAACTTTAGTAATTACAACGGGTCTGACTACGTCGAGGAGTGCTCTACCCCACCGCTACAATCAGAAGTCTACACCATTACACCAAATCTTTGCAACGAGACTAAACACAATCAATCTACTCCTTCAGTACGAAATAACTCCATAAATTTCCGACCTGACCACAAGTCAAAACAGGAGCATTTTACACCGCCATCATCGGGAACCCTCTTCATTACACCTCACCTTTATTTGATTTGTATCTTAGGTTTAGTTTTTGCAAATGTAATAATTTAGCGTAGTCAAAATAATGTTTATTGTAAATATGTTTATCTAAATGTTTGAAATAAATATGGGAAAAAGAAAAGCCAGATCGTATCGGTATTTTGTTTCAATACCGATATGATGTTTTTTTTTTAATTTACTTTGGATGACCTTGAACATTGCAACGTCTGCTGTAATCAACCAATCAGAAGCGGATTTTCATTCCACGAAAATAAGGTACCTACCGCATAAAAGGACGATGCGAGACCTACTACTATCCACTTTACTCTCGTCGGAGCTCGAAGTAACATGTCGTGGTGTATAAAACATCCTGAATATTCAAAAGAAAATGATAGGATCAACTCGTACATACACGCCCGAACGAGAAGTTTTGTTAGCGAATGCAGAATCGAACTCGCTGAAGCAGGATTCTTCTACGCAGGAAAAAAGGACCAAACGATTTGTTTTTACTGCGGTGGTGGACTACACCATTGGCAAGATATCGATGATCCTTGGGAAGAACACGCGAAATGGTTTCCCAAGTGTCCGTTCGTATTGGTACACAAAGGACAAGATTTCGTCAACGAAATGAGATCCAGAACCGAAAGAAACGCCCTACAAAAGAAAAGGATTCCAACAAACAACATTGCTGTACCCCCACCGATAGAAGAATCAAACATCGAGTGTATAATATGCATGAACAAAAATCGTAATTTACTCTTCTTGCCATGCAAACACTGTTTCGCTTGTGACATATGCGGATGGCGATTCGATAACTGTTGTTACTGTAGAGCTCCTATAATTTCTATGATCCAAGTGTTTTTAGTTTAGATCTGTATTAGGTTTAAGTTTTCAAAACAACTATATTCCTTATATTGTGTGTATTTTAAATTTTCAATAAAGAATTAAAAAAAATTCAGCGTATCGGTATTCATCCCACTACCGATATGCTGATTTTTTTTAAACCCAAACAACGACCTTGAAAATATCGATCCACCCTAGCTTTGACACGTCACCATGACGTAACCCACTACACCATGTCCTAGGTCACGTGCTAGGTCATGAACCGATGCTTATATAATATCATACAGTATAAAAAGATCCATGTTTAGCAATGAAGTGATAGATATATTAGAAAGACTAGATGACGGTGAAAGAAACCGGACCTAACGGTGAAAATAGTTAAATTGAATAGTTTTCTGTACTAAAACTAGCAATAAAAAACATTCAAACAGTTTCACAAAAGGACAAACGATAAACAGAAATACGTTGGATTACAATACAACCAAGAGTATTTAATGAGAGTTAACATTTGCTTTAAATAAATAGTAAATTATAGGGTAAAGAGTGGGAAATTTGTTTTTATATAGCTTGATCGTTTGTACGTCTAACATTAAGCAATGTGTAATATACCAAATGTTTGTTATTTTAAAAATCATTCAAAAACATAACGATTTGAATGAATAAACAAGTCTTAGAAATATAAGGTACTAGGCCTATGTTGCAAATGTGGCACATGGTTGTAATAAACCAAATTATTTCTTTTTTTAGCACTATAAAAATTGCAGAATCTTTTTGTTTTTAGGGTCAAAAATGATAAAAACCCATTTTTACCCCATAAACCCCCATTCTCATGGTCCGATTATGCTGGTTCGCGAACTCGATCGAATAAAATGTCATCAAAATCGGATCATTTTTGCTCGAGTTATCGCGCTAACTTACACACACACACACACACACACACATATATATATATATATATATATATATATGAATTTGAATGGATGGTGTTTTTGACCTCTGGGGACCTCAAAACGAAAAAGTAAATCGGTCCCGGATCTAGGTCTTACCATGAGACCTACGGTAATAGCTTATTCCCTATATGGGAAATTCGCTAAAAAAAGGTGGTAAATGGTGATCGATTTCGATTGGACACTGCAATCATCATCAGACCCAATAGGCGAATGACGACATATCATTCGCCTATTGTAGTACAGGTAAAATAGGGTTTTATAAACAACAAAATTTGTACATTCATGAAATTTCACCTGTGAGTTACTAATAGTATGAGAAATGAAGATCCAATGAGTCCCCAAAATTTTGGGCGTCCTAAGGAACTTTTTGGGGCCCTTTTTGTTCCGAAGGGCCCTTTTTCCTGAATAATTATGTTTTTACGTTTAAGGTCGAGTGAGGTGTGGTTTTCGATGGTTTTAGTTATTTTAAGTCGATTGGGAGTAGGTTTAAGTGTATTAAACCACACCCTACAGGGTGTTTCGAAATATTATTACTTTTTACGATATTTAAACATTTATTCATAAAGTAATAAAATTAGTTACCTCCATGCTCTATATAAAAGGGCATTATTGAAAATAATTGTAATTCTTTACTACGTAAAGGGAAAGGATCACAAGGAGTAAGAGAAAATATTAAATACCCCCGTCACAGCAAACCTGCAGACCTAGCGAATTTCCGTTTTACTTACTTGATTTTCAATTAAATCTAAAATAGCATTGCGTTTAACGATTACCTAGGTTTGCTGCTACAAGGAGGCTAATAAAGTGTGTTTATAGTAAAATAGTAATAGCCTAGTATATAACAAATAAATTTGACAAGTTTGATCAAAATATATCTATTAACAAACAAACAAAATCATTTTACACAATTCTCCTTAAGAATAACATGCGAATTTTAAATTTACAATTTTAGTATTTTTATCCGTAACTAATAACCATACAAAAACACGTTAATATACTAAATTATTTGTTTTTAAGCTATTTAAAATGTTCTATAGAAAAATTGGGAAACTTTGTGTTTTGAGGGTAAAGTAAATAAGAAAACCCAATTTTTACCCCATAAACCTCGTTCCCATTGTTCAGGACAAAAATGCTTGTACCGACAATGCTGCTCTGATGTCTTAGTGCTGTCCTGGTCGTCATAACCACGAAAGATAACCGTACTTGTATTGATTAAAAAACAAGTTTGAGGAACTTAAGATACAAGTTGCAAACGTCAGTATGTATGAAAGGTGTTTTTGCACCACATTGTTCGTGCTTTAAGACTGGTGTTGCCTGTTCTGCAATATGCAAGGTTTTAGGTTTGTAAAGGGGAATCCTGATTGAACACCAACTAGGACAAAATCAGTAAAGATGGACAAGTTGCTAAAAATAATAATAGCTACTTCCCTATAGGGAAATTCGCTAAAATTGTTAATGAGCCGTCTGAGAATAATTATTGTGATGATGAAATTGTAAAGAGAGATACTACGGAAATTGTAGAAAAATAGCTTTAGTTTAAGTACTTCATTGTAATATGTAATGTAAGGTTTTATACAAATACAATTGTTTTAATTTTTTATAAATGTAAAAAAATAGCTTAAATAACCACCTAAGAAAAATGCATATCAATTTGAAATTGGTCTTAATAGATTTGCATAAAAAACACGTTTGAAAGATTATTCACACCACCATAAAAGTTGAAATTTTTGCTTAGTAACCTATGTTATTATGTTATAGTGTAAAACTTAATCCATCCCCTTTTAGCGAACATCCCATATAGGAGTTAAGCTATTGCCAAAGGTCTTATGGTAAAACATCGACCCGAAACCGATTTACGTTTTCATTTCGATGCCCCCAGAAGCCTAAAGCACCATCCACTCAAAATATTATATATGTGTTTATATACATATAAATAATATAATATATCCAAGTTATATACGTGTCCGTAAACATGATAATTCGAGTAATTTTGGTTCAATTTTAACAAAACCGGCATAATCGGTCCATGGAACAGGGTTTTATGTGGTAAAAATTTGTAATCTTTGACCCTCAAAAGACAAAGTTTCCCAATTATTCTCTAGAGCATAAAGAAAACAAATAATTTAGTATATTTACGTGTTTTGTAAGTGTATTAGTTACGAATAAAATTGAAAAATTGTAAATTTAAAATTCCATGTTATTCTTAAGGAGAATAGTGTAAAATTATTTTGTTTGTTTGTTTATAGATATGTCTTAATAAAACTTGTCAAATTTATTCGTTTTATACAAGGCTATTAATATTTTACTATAAACACACTTTATTAGCCTCCTTGTAGCAGCAAACCTAAGTATTCATTAAACTCAATGTTATTTTAGATTTAATTGATAATCGGGCAAATGAAAATTCGCTTAGTCTGCAGGTTTGCTGTGACGGGGGTCTGGCTCCTTGCGATCCTTCCCTCTTATATAGTAAAGAATTACAGTTATTTTCAATAATCCCCTTTTATATAGAGCATGGAGGTAACTAATTTTATCACTTTATGAATAAATGTTTAAATATCGTAAAAAGTAATAATATTTCGCAACACCCTGTATGGAGTGGCTTAATACACTTAAAACTAGTCCCAATCGATTTAAAATAACTAAAACCATAAAAAACCACACCTCACTCGACCTTAAACGTAAAAACAAAATTATTCAGGAACAAGGGCCCTTCGTTAAAAAAGGGCCCCAAAAAGGGCCTTAGGACGCCCAAAATTTTGGGGACTCATCGGATCTTCATTTCTCATATTATTAGTAACTCACAGGTGAAATTTCATGAATGTACAAATTTTGTTGTTTATATGGAGTGTTTTTGTATTATTTTACCTGTACTATTGGGTCTGATGATGATTGGAGTGTCCGATCGAAATCGATCACCTTTACCACCTTTTTTAGCGAATAAGCTATTACCGTAGTTATCTATCACCCCCTTACCGTCTTGTGAGTAGCATTATAAGCGTAAATATATGTTTTAAGTGTTATAAGACGTTTCATTATTTACTTTCCATGCATTTAATAACACGTACGATGCTGATCAAGAAGTTATGAAACGAAATAGACTCAATATTTTCTGTATATCATAAGAAGTTATTAAGTTAAATTGTGATTGACTCAATTCAAATAAATTAAATTAAATAATAAATAATAAATTAATTTAATAAAATTAAATTGTTCACGTTGTCGAATAGTGAAGTGTTATAAAATAATAATACTTTATTTTTATTTTCATAATTGTACCTCCTTAAGAATATTAACAATTTTTTTTATATTTATTTGGCAAAGATGAAATAAAAAATCCAATTGTATAATCAGTTTTTACGAAAGCTGAAATCATTTTGTTCTATTTGTTTATATTTATCAATGACTAGAAGTCTACGTAATGTTTTTGCAACGTTTTATATCACTAGTAATCTGCGGTTCAAATTTACGGGTAAGTGAGATTCATCCAAAAGTCAATGGTTTTAGTAAGTCGTAATTAATATTGCACTCAATATATATCTTAAAGTACAATTAGAGAAAACATAGAGTTTAAAATTGTGAATTTGATGTATGTCATTAGTGTAAAATAAATAACGTAGCTGAAGAACGATAAACACTGTAATTCAAACTAGATTTCAGTAAATACTAACTAATGTAAAAACCTTGAAATTGTGTTTAAAATATTTAAAAGTAAAAAAATGGGGTTAAATTTTTGACAGCAATCTCGTCTTTGAGCAAAAACCAAATAAAAGTTTATAATCTGGAAGTAGCTACTATTAGTTGAATCCTCACTAAATCGATTAATTCAAAGTCGACTGGTCGGTTTGTTGACATGTAACAAGTTAGTTTAATCAAGTCAGGACATTGAAATACTCATTTATTTAATTCAAACAATACAATATGGCTACTA